TAACACATAAATTGAGTCTACACTGACCATATAACATATTATATAGGTATACACTGACCTTATAAGGCATTATATGAGCCTACATTGACATGACAGATAATATTAGTGTACATTGACTATATTATATGAGTCTACATTGACCATATATTATATGAGTCTACATTGACCACATGACGCATTATATGAGTCTACATTGACTACAACACATTATATGAGTCTACACTAACCATATAATGCATTACATGTGTTTACACTGACCATACAATGCATCATATGAGTCTACATTGACCATATAATGCCTGATATGCGTCTACACTGACCATATAACGTTTTATATGAGTCTGAAGTTTGGTAAGGCACCAGCACTCAATTATTTTGCATATAATCAGCCATATTACACATAGGGTGCACTGGCATTGTAGACTTTACCAAACTACAACTCCCAGGAGTCTATAGCATTGGAGTCGAATCAGGCTTTTGGTAGAGAAGGCTAAAGACTTCACAAAACTACAACTTCCAGGGTCCCGTATTCAAGTGGTGCCAAGATGCCATATGTCAGATTGTACTCAAAATAGTAATAATAATAATAATAATAATAATAATAATAATAATTGGCATTTCTTTGACCCAGCTTTCCTCCCTCTTGGCAACCTTGGTTTGCCCCCGTTGCAAAGGAATTGCGCAAAGCCCGAAAGGCATACCACGCCAAAAATAATGCCCTCGTTTTATTTTCTCTTCCCTCCAAAAACACAAAATAGCCCTCTCCCTTTTGGCCACTTCCCCCTTTGGGTGGCCATAAAACCCACGCCAGTGAATTTCGACACATTGGCCCCTCCTCTGGCCACTTCTACTAAGGTTTGACACGCAAACACAACCACATCGAACACACACACAAACATTTCAAAACAACCAGTGGGAGGCTGGATGGCCATCTGTCAGGAGGGCTTTGATGGTGTCTTCCTTTCTGGAGTAGAAAAAAAGACCATCAGAAACTCACAGTATTTTCTGTTGGTCATGTGGGTTCTGTGTGGGAAGTTTGGCCCAATTCTTTTGTTGGTGAGGTTCAGAATGCTCTTTGATTGTAGATGAACTATAAATCCCAGGTACTACAACTCCCAAATGTCAAGGTCTATTTTCCCCAAACTCCACCAGTACTCACATTTGGGCATATTGAGTATTTATGCCAACTTCGGGTCCAGATCCATCAT